CATACAATTGTGCATCAGAAGTCCTTCTGCAATCCTCTATATGTGGACCTCAATAATTGGTTCAGCATTTCTGAGAGGTTCTAGACTGACTTACAGACCCAGGCAATAAGTTTCAGACAAAGGAACCATCACAGATACTGTGAAATCTTACTTTGCCTCTGCGTCCATTGCCCCCGTCCTGATCTTCCCATTGCCAATCAACTCCTCGCACCACCCTGGCACCTGTGAATATTCCTCTTGCTGTGATTTTCTTCGATTTGCGGCGAGATTCCAGCAGTACCCTAAAATATCAAATGACAGAATAAATAGACTAGATCTAACACACACTGCTCCATATAATCTGTTTTATTTTCAATAATGAAAAAGACAATGATTAAAAAGATATCTTACATTTCAATGTACTGAGTAGCTCAGTGGTACATAGTGCCAAAATTCTTTCCTACATCCAAATCAGTCATACACATCCAGACATTTGTATTAAAGTGGGAAAATTAAGGTTACCTTTCACTCCCAGGTGTAGTTATTCTATAAAAACGATGTCTTAAATGATGCTTATCTCCATGATAACATACTGTGCATAAGTCATAATTTGTGCATTCTGCACATTTCCATCGAATACCAATTATTGGTTGCTGGCGACAAGTGTCACACATTGTTCCATCATGCTTAATTCCTGTAGAAAAGAGTACACTCAATTTCAGAATAGTCATATGGAAGAATACACACCAAAAGGATACAACAGAACATGTACTTATCAGAACATGATAATCATGCCTGTCCACAAACCTTTGACCATTTTTACTGGTCACAGGGTCATGAACTTTAGTGCACACTACTACAATACCACTCTGATGGCAGAAACTGAGGAGGAAGTAAGGAACCTTGTAATGAGGGTGAAAGAGGAGAGTGCAAAAAATGGTCTGAAGCTCAACATCAAAAAAACTAAGATCATGGCCACTGGTCCCATCACCTCCTGGGAAATAGAATGGGAAGATATGGAGGCAGTGACAGATTTTACTTTCTTGGGCTCCATGATCACGGCAGATGGAGACAGTAGCCACAAAATTAAAAGGCGCTTGCTTCTTGGGAAGAAAGTGATGACAAACCTTGACAGCATCCTAAAAAGCAGAGACATCACCTTGCCAACGAAAGTCCGCATAGTCAAAGCTATGGTTTTTCTTATAGTGATGTATGATTCTGTTTTGTATCAGTTTGTTTATGTGACCAATGTTACAAAGTTACAGTGGAAAACTATTCTTTTTCATGTTTGAAAAACTGGGTGTCTCTAATATCCTATGGCATTTCATTTGAGAATCAGTTTCTCATAATATATTCAACTCATCCTCCTTCAAAGTCACACAGATTTGAACTCTCCATGTACTGTACTGAAATATACTTCATATACTGCAATATAAACTCAGTCAGTAAAATAAATGGTATTTAGAATGGCTGGATTTAGTAAAGTTATTACTCTGGAAAACTTGCTGCATCTGAAACTAGTGAAAAGATATAGTAATTCAGTAGTGCCTATCACATATCAAAGATGAGGCCAGCAGATACCCACCAGCTGGTGTCTGTACACTGCCTTCCATTCAACCTCAATTAATTCCGACACAGTAATTTAGACTAAAAATGGTAATACTGTTGCCTACTATGACTATGGTACTTTCTCAATAAATAATTAGTAGCTCCAATTAGGATATCTCAAGTGTGTTTATTCCACTGAAACATCTTTGGGCCACATATAATCAGGGACTACAGATGTGTCAACACTGCCTGTTACATAGAAAAGATGATGCCTAAACCAAGTGCAGCAACTTCTGAAGCTGGAAAGTTTTACTAAAGTTTTTCAGTGCTCTAAATCTATCTGAATTAGATTTATCGTGTTTTTTCAGTCAGCAAAAATTACACTTAATTTTATCGACTTATACATCTTAAATCTTTTAGGGCTTAGCAGATAAAACTTAAAGTCAAAAATACATCATTTAATCAGGCACAGCACACAAAGGCTGTAATGCCGGGAAAACATTTAACTTTTACTTTAAACTACTTAAAATAAAGATCACTGAATTCAGCAGGACTTACTCTGATCAGATATGTATAGAACTGAACTGTTAACACAATTTACTAGCCATATTCAAACTTTATATCACTTTACTTTGCAATTACTTTTATGATGTTTATTTACATGTATAAAAACTGCACATTACAGAATAATATTACTATGTCCAAAAACATATTGTACATACACATATAAACTGGAAACTGCTTAATTTAACTAATGTATTAGCATTAAGTTGCTAAGTAATTTCACAAAACTATATAGTGTTTTGAAATGTTAATGCATCTATTGCCACCCAAGATTTTCTGTTCCAAATCACTTACAAACACATTTGTTCTCTAGTCTTTTGCCTAATAGGTGAACAGTGCTAATGGCAACATTTGACCATTTCTTAAGTGTTGTGTCCAAATCAGGGTTCTCAGATGTATACACACAAATATATGTCCTTCACATTCACTTCATAAAGGGCAGCCCTGTCCTCAGTAGGTACTTCATCAATGGCACAAGACTAGAATCCAATACATAGTTATGAGTCTCATTAATTCACAGGAGATTCCTTGTATGTGTGCACAGGACTGAGCTTTGCTAAAAGCAACACCCAGCGCCAACACTTACAGCGGTGCCTCACTTAGTGACGTTAATCCGTTCCGGGAAAAACATTGCTAAGTGATTTAATCGCTAAGTGATTTTAAAAAGCCCATAGGAACGTATTAAAATGTGTTTAATACATTCCTATGGACTTAGAAACTAACCTTAAGCGAAATTCCTCCATAGCGGTGGCCATTTTGGGTGCCTCTAAAGCAAGGCAAAACAGTGGCCACTATTTTGGAACCGCCGATCAGCTATGCGAAAATGGGGGCTTTGCAATGATCGCGGGGAAGCGATCGTCGCAAAGCCCCCATTTTTGGCCAGCTGATCGGCAGGGCTTTGCGACGATCGCTTCCCCACTGGGTCTTTCTCGGCCAGGGTGGCGGCAGCGGTGCCTCAGTCTCCCTGCCGAGGCTGGAGCTGCGAGGGGTGGAGAGAGAGAGAGAGAGACGAAGCACAGCTGATCGGCGGGGCTTTGGGATGATAGTGGGGAAGCGATCGTCGCAAAGCCCTGCCGATCAGCAAAGCCTGCATTTTCACACAGCTGATCAGCGGGGGCTTTGGGATGAATGCGGGGAAGCGCTTCCCCGCGATCATCCCAAAAATGGGGGCTTTGCAATAATCGCTTCCCTGCAATCATCACAAAGCGAATTTTCCCCATAGGGGCCATCGCAAAGTGATCGCTCTTGCGATGGCAAAAAGTCCATCGCAAAGCGATTTCCTCGTAAAACGGAGTGATTGCTATGCGAGGCACCACTGTATTTGCAATTTTTAAAGCAGCAGTATAACATATACATCAAGTTTTCTTGTTTTGCGAATGATACAATGGGCCACTTCCCTTCAACTAAGGAAAGCATTAACATTGAATCAAACCTTCTCCAGCATAATTTTTTTTTAAAACACCTCTTTTGAAATTTTGAATAAGTTATGCATTGATGAAGTCAGTAGAATGAGGACAGGCTCTCCAACATCTTACTTTCCTCATCCAGCCAAAATAAAATAATCCTGAGATCATGTCTCCTGAATCAATGCATGCCCATTTAGAGAAAAGACATTCAACCTCAGTAGATGTTTCTGCTTGGGAAAACTAATTTTTCAGTGCATGCCATAAAGACCAGGTTACATCCAATGCACACTATGCCTGAGGTCTTCCTCAAAGTACAGTCATGAAAAAGTCTACTCTGTTCTCTGAACTTATGTCGGTCCCCAAAACAAAAGCAGGGGGGAAAGTGCCAAGAAAGTTGTTTTCAAATGTTCCTCAAATGACAAGTTTAGATTTGTAGGCCTTTCTCTCGCTGTGTCAGAGGAGTCCTTTTAAACGTCTTCCACACCACTCCCAAGCTCCACAACTTAATTCATAAATTTCTTGTAAACTGCCAGCTATCCTGAGCTCTCACAAGGATGCAAAGAGGATGCAAAGAATAGAGCAAATAACAAATAAAAACAATTATTCTGCCCATACTTAACCCTTGCGAATCCACACACATTTTAACCTTAGAAACGGGGATGCTTTCAAGCAGGCATGCCTATGTTTTGGCTGCAACGAGGTGTCCCCCCCCCTCCCCACCCCCAAGTTCCAGCTCTGTGCAGAAGGGCTGGCCAAGGGACGGTGCGAGGCTCCAACCGGTTTCCGCCCCAGGCGCCCCCGTCCGCCCCGGCACCGAGTCACAGCCCCTGAGGGGAAGCCCTTTTATCGCCCTCAGGGGCCCTGAGAAGCGGGCACGCCCTCGGGCAGCGAGGCACCAGCGGCCGCCTGGCTGTCTGGGGAGGGCGGACGTCCGCGACCCGACACCACCTCTGAGGAAACCCCGCCGCCTGAAACAAGGGGGCCGGCGGAGTCCTTTTCGCCGCCTTCCTCTCTTCCCACACCTTGGACCCGCTCAGCATCCTCCTCCTCCTCCTCCCCGCCCCCCCACACCTCCCGCTCCTGCCTTCCCCTCACCAGTAGGCGCGCTGTCCAGGATGCGCAGGTCGTAGGCGCCCGAGCAGCGGTAGTTGGCCGCCGTGCCGTTGTCCCAGACCACCACCACCTCCTCGGGGCTCTCGAAGCTGCGCACGGTGCCCACGTGGCCCTCGCCGCCGTCCTGCTTCCCCCACTTCCAGTCGGGGCCCCTCACCACCCGGGCCCCGACGCCCTCCACCATGACGCGGTTGTTCCTCGAGTTGCTCATCTTCGCGAGCGCTGGAGGGGGACGGAAACGGGGGGGGGGCCGCCGCCGCCGCCGCGAGCCCTCGACGCTGAGAACAGACACCCCCAAAGAAGGGGACGCTATCGATCACGAGCGAGCGACGGGAGAGGCAAATGGGGGGGGCGACCCTCCAAGAAGCGCCGTCACAACAAAGGCAGGGAGTCAGAGCCGGCCCGGCCGGTCTCTCCCGTGCTTTGAAGGGGTGGATCCGACGCGGCCTCCGCCTGCGGAACACAACGGCTGCGACCGAGTGCCTCCACGACGCCCCCTCTCTTCCTCCTCGATGGTCTCTTCCTCCTTGCAGACGCTCCCGGCGCTTCCTACAGCTTCCACAGGCATAGGGCAAAGCTACATCCGGGTCCCCTGGCGACAGCTCCACCGCGGCCTCGGAGGAGGGCAGCACCAACGAACTCCGTGCGCATGTTCCGAGTCCATCGCTTCTGGAGGAGTGGAAGGGAGAGGACGGCGCCGTTGCGAACCAAGTGAGTAGAAGCTCGCTAGCGACACCTAGGGAGCCGAGACGTTTGCTGCATGTGACGCGAAACGAGGAGAATCTGGAGAAGCCTGCCGCGTTCTGAAATACAAAGGGACACGTGGCGGTTGTTGGAGGCTGTTGCGTGCGAGGTCACGAAGATTAGCATCGCAGTTAATTGTCCCATTTACCCTATGCACAGCTCGTCGGTATGTATGTATGTATGTATGTATGTATGTATGTATGTATGTATGTATGTATGTATGTATGTATGTATGTATGTATGTAAAATCTTTTTACCCTGTCTTTCTCCTTACTAAGGACCCAAGGTGGCTTACATCATTAAAATATAATAATTTTTTAAAGCTAAAAACAGTAAGTGTACAAATGAGATTCTCAGTGTGGTGTGGTGGATAAGGTAACCGACTAGGACTCCGAACAGCAGGGTTCAAATCCCAACTCAGCCATGGAGACTCACTAGGGGAGTGAAACTGGTAATCCATTCCTTAAATACTGTATCCCACTTACCTTAAAAACCTTGTTAGGGTCGCTATAAGTTGGTTCTGACTTAGGGCACATTCCACACACATACACACACACGCACATGCTAAAAAGAGTCAAATGCCACACTACAACATGGTAAGCAGAAACAATAGTACCCAAATCATTCAATGCAGTAAAGCACAACAATCAGTTAAAAAAAACCCATTCAGGGAAAGCTTGTCTGAAGAGCAAGGTCTTTGAGGAAAGATGGCAAAGATGGGGCCAGCCCGGCCTCTTGTAGGAAGGAGGTCCAAAGCCCGGGAACAGCAACCAGCAACACAGAAGGACCTCTCTCATGTACCCATCACATTCACCTATGAAGGTGGGACCAAGAGAAAGGCCTCCCCTGATGGCCTTAACGAGCAGGATCATAAAGGGAGACTCAGTCCTTGTGATAGCTTGGGCCTAAACTATGGGTTAGAACCAGCACTTTGAATTCTGCCCAGAAACATATTGGGAGTCAGTGGAACTGCTGCAACAGTGGTTATATGATCCCTATGACCAGCCTAAGTTAGCAATCTGGCTGCTGCGTTTTGGACTTGCTGACATTTCTGGACTCTTTCAAGAGTCAGCCCCAGGTAGAGTGTGTTACAGTAATCCAGCCAGGATGTAACTAAGGCATGCATCACTGCAGCTAATAATACTTCATCAAACCTATCTACTACATGGACACCAGCCCTAGATGAGAGCTAAAATCGAGGAAAACATTTCTGCACACATCTCAAGCTCTAAATATTAAACCAGAAGAAGCTGGGCTAAACTTATGGAGAACAAAGAACTACACGCCTTGCCAAATGGGTGAATGCTGAACAGTGTCACCAACCAGGATAAAATTCTAGCTGAACCATCTGGGAGTCAGTTAATAGACTTTGAAGCGAAGTAGATCAAAAAATAATCAAGAAAAATGGATCTACTTGAACCAGATGGAGAGGGTAAGATGGATACCTACTAAATTTGCACAGCTCAGTGGGGATTTCAGCCTGGTTGTCCTAAAAGGCCTAGTCCCACATTCTAACCATTGTGCTACAGGGGCTCTTTCAATAAGGACTTCAGGGAGAACCTGCCTCAGATTATAGCAAAATTTTGTAATGTTTTATTTTTCACCTTCAATACTCAACATCGTGAATATCAGCAGCTGACATTCTCAAATGTTTATCCTTTTGTACACCACGGCAGAAATGTGATAACTGTAGAAACTAAATTCTGCCCTTTCTATATCATGAGTGAATAAAGATCAAATAAAAGTCAAATTCTACTCAAAAGAGCTGAGGATGGAATATAATTCATGAGTGGGAACTATAAGTGGTACTTATCACTGTTTTGTTTCTGGTCATATACCTCGCTGATTCCATGAGATCCCCACAAATGTTTGATACCAGGTGTGTTGAATATCAATTGGATGACTGCATTGTTATAATAATACCAAGCTAGTTGCCGGGCTCTTCAGAGAATAACGAGATATAAAGCTCTCTTAGCTTATGGTATTTTTCCCAGGAGTATGCATAAAATGCATTCCATGGTACATCCAATGTTCTTTACATGTTGTTAACTCCTGCTTTTTTTTGCATGCTGATTCCAAGTGAAGATGTCCCTTTTAACACTGGTATTAACATGCACAGAGATAACCACAGTGTGAAACCTGTTGGTTTATGGCTCAATCTCCCACTTTTTATTTCTTCAGCATTCTGTACATAAAACCTGCTTCATGCTGCGCATAGATTGATGACTTTCAGTACAGTCTTTGAGTATCTGCAGATGAGGGAGAAAAACAGCTGGAGACAAGGCATCTTAAGACAGGAACAGAGTTGCACAGAAAGATAAAACACATCACGAAAATTTATGTTGAATGCTGTGAGGAAGAGACAGAGAGAGAGACTGAGAGTGAGCCGTCCCCTCAAACGTCCATCATAGGACAGGTGATAGAACAAGCAAGGGATATAGTACCAAAACAAGAAAGAGAACAGGAAACAGAGACATGAGCCGGTGAGGAGAGAGGAGATCGCGCAGTGGAATTGAAAGGGGCTCGAGGCAAAGGGGACCGCACGGAGAAAAAGGAGTGGTTAGGACAGTTAGAGAGGGCTGAGGCAACGAAGGCAGGAGAGAGGAGAGTGAGGAGAGGCGACAGGGAAAGTGTAAACGTCTTTTTAACTACTGAAGAGGGAACAAGGTCTAAAGAGACAGAAAAGATAACTGTGATTAAAGAACCGATCGCAGAGAGATCTGATGTGGAAGCCCAAGTCTTCTCTGTGCCTATGAAAAGAGCCGCAACGAGCGAGGTAGAAGAGAGAGAAGAGAGCAAACCGTAAGACAGAAAGTGAGACCCATAATTGCCAGTTTAAGTCCAGAGGAATGGACTGTCTTGGTGTACCCCAGGGGTCAGGGACGCGGACGGATGGTACATCCAGTCGATCCCACAATGGAGAAAGAAACAGCGAGAGAGGGAGAATGGGCTCGTCATCCTTGCTGCGGAACCCTGTGTGCGGTACGCAGCGGGTTCCTGAGGTCACCGACAGAGAAAGAGAAAGCAGCAAAAATATATTACTAAAATACTTATATAACGATAAGTCCTTGTTGTGGTTTTGGGAGAGTTCCCCTCCCCAGTTAACATTACATAATTTGTTAGAGTTCAGTAAAGAAGAAACAAACAGTTGTGTTCATAATAAAACTTCTTTATTTAATAATTCTGAGTCATCATTTGTGTTGCCAGATGAGGAACAGAATAAGACTAACCATGAACCTGCTTACAACTGCTAAGAAGGATAAGTTAAAAATAAATAATGTGTAAAAGAGCAGCCAATTGATTTCTAATATGACCCTAATAACAACCACACACATCCGTGGAAATCCAAGGGAAGTCCATTGAGTCAATTGCTGAATCAGCAGCACTTCTGTGAAGCCCCATTGATTCAAAAGGTCTATTCTAATCAGAATTGGCTGTTTGGATTGAAGCCATTGAATTTAGAAAAATAAAAGGAAAATATGTTTACAAAACTTCCAGTTTCTTGCCTTTTATTTAATAGTTAACAGCCCATGTCCTTACCTGTGTTTTGTTATTCTTTTAAGGAAAATATCCTCATCTCAACCAAACTGATATATTTCTTTTTCTCTTCTTTCTTTAACATTTACTCCTGCAGAAGAGTTCTGTGGAACTGAAAAGTTGTTTGTGAACACTGCTTGACCCTGAAGAAAAACTTA